TCTTTTTTATTTATTTCCAGCGAGCAACGTCAGTTGGTAAAATTGCAGCTAGGAAAATAACCGAAGAAGTAATATCGGATGTATATCAAAAAACAATTGACAGATTTTCTGAAAGTTACAAGGACGGTTTGCTTGCGATGTTAAATCGTTACGAACAGGCATTATCGGATGGATATAGTCTTGCAGTTATAATTCCTGTATGGACCATTGTGCAAATGCTAGGAGGCGCTTTGTTCGTGTTATGTTGTTTTTGTAGCATGTATGTATGTAAGCGAATATATTCCTGATGACGGGTGTGCCACATTGCTGCATTCATTTCCTTGGAGTTATTGTCACTAGCCTTGAGATATATTTTTGGATATGCAATCAGAACGACGCATCGATACTCATTAATTTGCTGCTTTTCAAAAGCGCAAAAAAAATTGGAATAATATCAACACAGAATGTATGTGGATTTGTATTTATTCTTGGTAGGATATTAACAAATGGGCATTGTGTACGACGGAGTTTCGGTTGTAATCAAGTACGATTAATGTCAAACATCAACTCTAATTAGCAGAGATAATCCGAGATCCTCTGAAATATGAATATCGTTCATGTAATATTTTGTTTACACGACTAACAGGGATCTATGCAACTGATGCTGCAATCGCAGCTCACCCTTAAGGTGAGGCCTACATATCTCAACATGCCTTGATATACTGCTAACACCAGCCCTGAAGAGTTCCATGGACAACCGTTTGAGTACGATGGTCTCTCAGAATAATTGCAGGTTGGTCTGTTGTAATGGAGATGCGCACGCGCGTCAAAATGGAGAGCACAATCAGCCGTTTCAATCGAATTTGAATTCATTGACCTCAATAGTGTAACGATAGTAAATGTGAAATTTGAAAATGTCGGGCTCAATTACACACAGAATTATTAACCTAATCCTTTCTGTATTTGCCCTTCCACGATCAGGAATGTATGCCGTGAGAAGGAAGATCGAATTTATGTTTACCATTGCATGAGGTACTCTGTTTTATCGGAGTATAATAGTGATGAACAGAAAAACAACCCATACCGGTATGTCGTTCGATGAGAGGACGCCGTTAGACAAAGATTGACAAAACTAGAATATTCCTCTCGGTTTACATAATTAAAGGAGAATATTTTGCGACAACATTTCAGTAGTATCTCTACGATTGAAAATTCACAAAACCATACGTCTTGCGATTTAACACCTCATCGTTTTATAAGCCAAATGTCAGTACTACAACAACGGAACGATCACGTGATTTAGGGATAGGCCTATGGGTAATGGGAAAAAGTTGTTTTAACTTTCCTTATGAGGATGTACATGAATTCCGGGCGAATATTAACTGGACCATCACTTATGAAATCTATGGTGACATGAAAGTAGGCCTATATGATTTATTTTTAGTCTGTATAAGCTATTCTATTTCTCAGCAATTAGGCCTAATCCAGTTTAATTATTTTGGTGTTAGTTTACGATGAGTTTGACTTACATAATATGTTACTTTTTAAGAAAACTTTCATAATGGACAATAATTATATATCTAGGCCTACACAAATTAATACAGTTCACCTATTTCTGCCTTTGGATACGGCCATAATTGTAATTGAATAAATGTTTTACATTTAGTGAATTACTTGGGCCAATAATTAGGACTGAACAAAAAGCTGATTGTCTCCTCTATAAAGTGTTTATATAAGCAATGAAACAATACTGTACAACATCACATTCCAAGAAGTACAACATGATTTTTTGTTGTCATGCCCTGTATTAGACTAAAAAATGTTCTTATCGTTCTTTCATAACAGAAGAAACGTGTGGGTTACTTTAATTTATGAATTTTATGTTTTCGAGCATATTTAGTATCAATCTATTAATCTCCCACATAGTATCATGCTCTATATGGGTTTGTGGATGCAACAGTTGAAAAAAGTTTTTTTTTTTTTTAAAGGATCTGAGCTTATGAATCTGCAATTAATAGTTCTAATACAAAACAAAAGTAGTGTGGCACTGTTGACTATCACACTCTAATATTAAATGGCCATTTTTGAAAAAATGTAGCAGCTTTATACAAAATACAAGATTTCTTTATTGTCATCAACAAACACGAAGCTGCGAACTACGCTGTCTTCAGACATGCAGCAATGATACCGGTAGTATAAAATAATCAATATAAAAATACACGGAGAAGCTCTACCGAAACAGAAACAGGCCTAATTATAACCACTTGGGTCTTATTTTGACATTGAGAAAGTCAAACGTAAACGTAGTATACTAAACGAAAAGAGAGCATCCAGTGCCGAGTCTTTAACTGGGCCTACAATCAGCCTCGTTAACTATTCATTTTTGGTCTCCACAATCGAAAGTCAAACCAGCCGATATTGTACTGATAGCCTACTGATAACAAAATTATCCGTCCTAGGCGTGAGTCAGGTCAGTGTTCGTGTGTGATTATTGATTTTACAATTATTGTTTTAATTATTTTTGGAAAATAATTCTTGAAGATATTTTATTCTCAGACTTAACATAATTTTGATATTTCATCAAATCGCATTTCGGTGGTTAGCTCCTCCGGTACTATATTAGGCACGCGTTATTAATGGCATTTGACGACCGATCGGACCGATAATTTAATGTCGTCGCAGTGTTTTCAAGTTGTTTGTGCGTTGCCAAATACTATCTTCTAGTGATAATTGTAGCCGCGGTGTTCATTGAATCATCGGCTCCAAATTTTCAACACAAAACTACCACATGTACACGAAAGAGAAACAACAGTATTACATAAATATCTAAATTAGCCAAAATAGATAGGAAATAAAAACTCGGAAAGATTGTGTCAAGTGATTTTTTTTTAAATATTAAGAATGAGCCTTAAAGCATATGTTTTCTTTAATATTCAATGACTGTTTGCTTGTATAGCGCATTTAATATTGATGAAAACCGACGAAAATAAATGTATCTTTACAAAATACATGATTAAATATATCAGAAATAACCTTAAAACGATAGGCCTAATGCAGAAGAGAGTATGTCCAGATCAGAATCAGAAAATAGCGGTCGTGACAAAAGTCAATGTAACAAAACATGTATGTAAATGATCTATGGATTCAAAATTAAATAGAAAAAAACCTCTGGACACACCGAAAGTGCTCCTTAACTAAAATGTGACACACAGATTGTTATACATTTTCATAAGTTTTCAAGATATTGCAGCCGATTCTACCAAATTGATCAGTTTCGGTTAGAATCGGTTGATATTAGTGTCTTCGCAAATTTAGTCTTATTGACGCGCTCAGCAATTTAATTTTGAAGGTACCCGGAGGCAGCGATATTTTTTGTGATCTACCGGTAATAATCAATGTTGTAATTCCAAAAATCTGGAAAAGTATATATAAACCGACTTCTCATATTGAATAATATACCAATTGTTTCTTAGACTCATATCCGTTTAAATAGCAATGTATATACTGTATTCGGTTTTGGGCTGAGCCATTGCCCTACAAAGTTTGTAAATTAATAGCTTCACTAGTTAATTATAATGGGGTTTTTTTTTAATCATGATTCATCAGTTATAAAATCTTCGTGTAAACATATTCAAACATTTCTGGTTTTCTTTTCTACTAATTAAAAAAAAAGAATATTAAAAACATACCACTATAAGTTTTTGGCTTTAAAAAATTCACCAAGCATAAACATTATTGAATTGTTTACTTTTTTAGCATTAACAAAGGTATTTTAAATCAAATTCAATCAAATTTCTGAAACTGCGTCTTGTGTGTGACTTAAAGCCTAAGTTATAACATCATACTATGTAAACAATCAAACTATTTTACTATTTCATTCCAATGGTAGGCAATATGCTTATAATGAAGTTATCGCATACCAAGCTGAAACAATCGATTGCTTTCAAGATTATGAAGTTTATTTAATCAAGAACATGTCATATAGGACGAGCGCATCTACCTTACTCAAAAGTAATAATGGACATTTTATATATTTCATGTTTCTAGTACAGAGAAAGCAATAGAAAAACTTAAAAAATGGAGTTGGCAAATGATATAAATCAGGTAGAAGAAGGATATGATTACTGTACAGCTTTGGGCCTCGCTGTTTTCCTGTAAGTTTCGAGATCATAATCTGTTCAAATAAGAATGGTGGATAATAGTGAAGGTATTGTGGGCAAATGATGGTGTGGTAAGATCAGGCATAGAGGTCCAGATCTAGTAATTAAAATATCTAACCCACTTTTTGTAAAAATAATTTTTTTTTAAAGAGAATATATATTTCCTCAATCGGGATTTGTACCTAAATACTCCTGTTACAGTTGTGAAGCTCTCCACCTGAGTATAAGGCCAAGCTGATCCTTGGATTTTCCAATTAATATTGGCACACATTTCATTACATGTACCGTACTATCATGTTGCAACAACACTGAACAGAGAGATGTGCTTATTATTTTAAAAGATAACAAACGACATACATCCATCATGCTAATAAAATTTTAAAACATACATAAAAAGTATGGTTACAGCAAACTTCATTGATTGTCTTTCTGTAATAACTTTATGAGGTTTTGAATTCGGACGTCAGTATTGGATCATTTTGGCTGGTTCTAGGTTGGCATTAGCATCGTTGCTAAGTAGGAGTTTGTCGGTCAATCATTTAATGTCAATCTGTCATTTCGACAGTGATGATCGATTTGTTTAGTCGTAGTGTAATAAAAATATATTTTTTTCCAGCAGCATCGTCCTAAAGAATACTGGTTTGATCATTTGAACAGTACGGACAATTCCATGACTTGTGGTCCGCCGTAGTCCTACTTCGGTAGCACTTAAGAAATAGAGTCTGCATGATTGAAAATTATTGAACTACGAGAAACTTATAGCTTTGGTTATTAGTCACGAATTTGTCAGTTAATAAGCTCACTATTATTTATCCAGTCGGTAATAAGATGCAGTACGTCTGGTCGGGATGTTGCAATGTTAGTCCAGCTTTGTTGCTTTACATTTCATTTCAGAAGAAAAATATCTTGGAATCGCTAATTGAAGTTCGATCTAGTTTTTACCGTCGATTTCACTAAATTTAGTTAAGTTGACATTTAGTCTTCATAGCCTATAGTTGACCTTTATTCTCCGTAGCCCATGGTTGACCTTTAATCTCCATAGCCTATGGTTTACCTTTAGTCTTCACATCCGATGGTTGACCTTTAGTTTAGTTTATGACCATAAATGAACACATTTTATGTTATTATATAGAACGTTATTTAAAATGTCTTAATTAAAGTAGCATTTTAATTTGTCATTCTTTTCACAAAGACTAAAAATTTCGGATTGCCCTTTTGATAGATTGTTAGCTTTAATTTATTTAGCCTCACTGTCACCTCAAACATCTTGGTGATATAAATGAAAGTAATATGTATAAACTAAAGAAACTCACGATAAATTTTGGACGAAGCCTTCAATCACACTGGATCCTCGTCGGCGTCCATTATGCTATGATGGGTGGGTTTTTCTTCATGGTCAAAGCATAGTGGGCACCGAAGAGGAATGCCCAGTGGGACAGAAAGGATTTATCCAAAAGGAAAGTTTATTTAGTTTATACATATATTTTGAATTGCATTTATATCTACTAGATGTTTTCAGTGTCTAGTTAGCTTTGTGAAATTCTGCCATAAACACATTTTCTCATGTTATAACATGCATACATATTAAGGTTTTTAAGATAGATAACAGCTAATTTAAGCAAATGGCGATGAATTAATTAAAATTCAGAAAGTTATAGACATTGTAACCTACGTAGGCCTAGTCCAAATTGACACTAAAAACCTCAATGAAATTACATGACATTATGGAAGACGTTGACGATATAGGACAGTGATATTGATATTGATGATGATAATAATGATGATGAGAATGCCATGATGATATGATGCAGGCGATAATAATGGTAATATTGTTGATGATGATTATGCTGATGAAGAGGTTGAATGAAATTTTAAAACGAAAATCAAAATTTAATAACAATGAAAATTCAGGCGTTCGTAATTAGATTCTGCATTGCTTTCCGAGACAATGTATTATTAGGCATTATTACTTCAGTTTTTATCGTAATATAGGCCTATTCCACATAGTAATATAAACTAGCAATTAAAATATGCGAGATCAACTATGAACATAGATGACAAGAGATTATGTGTGTGGCATCGTTAACCTTAAATAATGTCTTAGAAGTTGACATGCGATAACGTACAATGGACCTATCGGCTAAGCCTCGCCCCTTGGATAATCTGGTAAGGTCCCACAAAAAATGGCAGTGTAAAGACATACAAAAAAACATGTGTGTTTGTGAGACGCGTATTCCTTGATCTGTTCTGATCAGTTTTTTAAGTCTCGTTGACTCCGAAATGGTCCATGGTCCCAGGGACGATGTACCAGCGTTCTGTTCGTATAATCAGCACGTAATTATCACGAACTGCATTGAGAATACGGAGATTTGTAAATTCATCAATCTTCTTGCGATATACTCCAGTCATCCTGCTTATTTCTGGCTGGTTACGTTAAGTTTGATGTACGAATGGCATCAATCTCCAGTAGAACTGATCATATACTGTACCTATTCTCGCTATCGTACTTTTTTACTACATTGTCATATCGTCTCCATATCATTTTT